CACCTGCTCCACTCGGTCTCCATTGATAACCAGGGGCTGGACATCTAATCTATTCCTCCTATAGTCCACTATAAGCTCATAATAATATTGTTCCAACTGTTACTTCTTTCAACACGCTTCCCCAGCCTTCACATATCCAGATGTATGAAATTAGAACTCTCATCCTGACAGAAGTTATGTTCCAAGACATCTGGAGAGCATCAGATTGTGAAAGCCTGTCCTAGAGTAACAGTGTGATATCTGCCTAATATATTTTAGGCAAAATATTTTTGGTCCAATCAGATGACAGTTATGAAATACTCATATTTAACTTGAACTCTTCAGGAAACGGAGAAGATAATTGCTGAACTGAATGAAACATGGGAAGAAAAACTGCGTAGAACAGAAGCAATTCGTATGGAGAGGTAGGAATGAGGCAGTGACTCTGGTCTAGAATATTATTAATGCCACATGGTTCAACATTTCATTTCATCATAACATCTTTTTCTTTTGATAGCTAATTGTTACTTTTAGAGTTGCATGCTAAAAGTGCTACATGGAAGCATTTATTTTATAAAATAAAATAGCTGTTGTGGGCTGAATGGAATACTATCTGGTTCAACATTTTCAGGAAGGGTATCCACGTCACGCTTTATAGCTGTGGTAAGGAAATATTCCATGTGATGGCACTACAGCATAATGATTTCCTGTTAAAGTTCTAGTTAGAACAGTCATCACATGAAAGATGTTTCAATTTGTAAACTAGCTATGATGAGTGTAAAGTCTGGGAAATTGTAAGATAAGAATCTCTTTAAACATTACTTTTCTTATATGAATTAAAAGCATGTCAGATGTTGGAGAGCAATGGTTGAAGTCATTAGCTATGCTAAGTCAAATGTCATTTGTTTGATTTTGGCTTAGTTTGTTGTGTGAATCCAGCCAATTATAGTCTAGTCATTAAACCAAGGTAAGCAAATATTGATTTAATGTATTGTGTGAACCAGGTATTGTGTGAACCTTGCCCCTTACCTTGATGTTTCAGCCAGGATCATTCCTACTGCTGTTTAATCTTTCTTAGCAGCTATACTTTCTCAGTACCTACATTATAATGATGTATATGCATTACTAGTAATTATATCTGGATTGAATAGTGCTTTCTATTTCTGCATTCTTCTACATCACTTATTTATGTTACCTAGTTTTAACAAAAAATTCAAAAGTTCATCTTCCTTCCTTCTCTTTTTTATCTTTTCCAGAGAAGCTTTGCTGGCAGAAATGGGAGTGGCTATGAGAGAAGATGGTGGTACCTTGGGGGTATTTTCTCCTAAAAAGGTTGGATACTCTTTTGTTTATTTATTTGTTTTCTCCATATTGATCAGAAGCACTTTGAAATATGCCAACTGCTTAACTCTGATACTCACAAAAAAATTAAAAATTATAAAATGAAGTATTAAAATAAGGAAAAACAAAGTAGCTACTCCCATTTTTGGAGTGTGACGCTTAGCATGCCACCCAAAACTTGGTGCAGCCCTTGAGCCAATAGAAATTTCTACTATCCTACTTGCTGTCAACCCCAGTGAGTAGCTGAGGGGCAAAGTATGTGATATGTTAAATACAAAGTATGCAGCTAACCTCCCTCCTTTAAAACAATAGAGTAACTGCGTGAAATCTTATTCAGGACTGGGATCAGTACTGGGGGGTGGGGGCGGGAGAGTTAAATCTTATCCTAAACATTTGCTTCTTGGAAGCCTCCCTCTATATGAATTTTTAAAAAGAAAGAAAAAAGGGGAAGGGATTTCAGGGAAGCAAGTGTGGCTGTGGAGGAAGGAAGCTGAAGGCTTCCTATGGAGCTTGGTGTGTCTGATCTAGATTGGAATTTGTCACACTAGTTTCTCTAGATTTTTTTTCAATGTCAGTTGCTTGACATTTATTAAATGTCTTTAATAAAGTATGTAGCTTGACAGAAGTCTGAAAAAAGACATGGCTCTTGAATGGATAACAAAGAGTTCCTGTGGCAATGCTGATTTTATGTGCAGTAAATATGCTCATTTGTACAGCTATATATCTGCAATTGCAAAATGTTCTGTTAAAAGGATTGGTCCTTTGGTACAGGTTGCTCATGATGAAACAGTGTGGCAGGAAGATATGGTAAGATCTCTCCTTGGCCAGAGATGGAGGGCTAGCTTTCCTCTTTTCCACTGTTTTTGTAGACTCCACATCTGGTCAACCTAAATGAAGACCCACTGATGTCTGAGTGCCTCCTCTATTACATTAAAGATGGAATCACCAGGTAACAAAGTCAGAAGCAACAGAAGCTATGCCAGAGCAATTTGATAGGACAGGCAATGAAATGTTTTATACAACCATTTTGCCTTTTTATCCCTTCTGCTGCACCTTGTAGAGCAGACTTAGCTTTTTGAAAATTATCTGAAATCTTTGAAGGAGATCCAGCCCATGATACTCTGTATCAACTAGCAGTGACTCTAGGATTGTTAACAGGAGATATCACAGATCAAGTTTGGTATTTACTCCCGTTGAATACTTACTGACTTTAGAAGCTTTATGTTGCTGTTTCCATCTTTGGCTTAGTTTATGGTAAAAAACATTAAAAGAAAAATCAAGTCTGCCATCAGATTTCCTGAACTGGACTGGCAGCTAATCACAGATCTCCTGGCACTTCACAATTTAGGTCAATTCCTCAGCTTGACTTGGCAGAAGATTCACAGACATGGCTTGGCTTGGTTAAAATCTTTATTGCAGGCAAGAAAGAAGTTGTATGCAACAATTGATTATCCAATGCCAATGAAAAGAAACCGAGCTGCTGTATTTTTTATATAAAACGGCCAATCTGTAGTTAATCTGTTACATGAAGAAAAATATAATGGGAAGGCCAAATAAAGTTGTAAGTACTTCTTATGATTACCATGATTGGTTGTAGAGTTTCTATATGCACTATGATGGGACCTAGTGTAAGAATTGGCCATCTATAGTTTCAACCCTTAATAGGAGATGGGAGACTGAAAAAGCAGAGCATATCTGTAGGCAGTGACTTTTCAGAGCTTTGGCATAATCACAGAATTGGTCCTGATCTTGACATTTGTAATATAGTACAGAAGTGAAATCTTGAACAGGTCCAACCACTAATTTCTTAATCTTAATGGACAGGGAAGCTCTTATAGAAGAAGATGGGGATAGATCAGCTATTCAGGGCTTCCCATGTCATAATTATTGCTTTTAATTTGGCAACAAGCAAACTGATTAAGTAATGCAGTAACATAAGAACTAGTATACTATACTGTTGTTTACGTAATGTTCCCTGAACTTTGCTACCTGCTTGTTAGGAGTACGTAACAGACCCTTTGCAGTGAATGAGCTGTTGAGAATGCCTTACAGTTTTGGATCACTGGTCCTTGAATAACTGAGTTTTATCTTCAACAGGGTTGGTCGAGAAGATGGTGAGAGGAGGCAGGATATTGTACTCAGTGGCCATTTCATCAAAGAAGAGCATTGTGTATTCCGAAGTGACAATAAATCTGGCAGTGAAGGTATCCCTGTATGGAAAAACTCCACATTTCCAGGTGTTCTTCCCTATCTGGTTGTGCAGCAGCCACTGGCTATTCCTTAAAGAAGCTGTAACTTTTCCTGGGACCATGCAATTGTCTTCTGTAGTTTCAGCATGAACCTGGGAAAAGATGTGTCTGGTGTAAGGTATAGTCAGTAGGTGCAAGGTGTGCACTCACATGTGCTCTAAAACACCTTTTCCCCTTTAAATCCAGATTGCTGCATAGCTCTTCTATTAGCTCTACTTCCCAGGCATTGCTGAGAAGTCATTGCTTTCTGTTCCTGCCAAAAGGGCCTACCTGCCTTTCAAAATGAAGTTCAGTAGTGGCCTTCCTCAATTTTATGGCTTGTAGGTATATCTGGATTAGAGTTCCCCAAATCCCCAGTCAACATAGGCAATGGACACAAATTGTTTACATGCATTTTGAAAGCACTAGGTTGGGATAGATGGAGCATCCAGACTGGAAGGGGCTGTCTCTTTTTTCTCAGTTGTGTCATCCTGGTCATCCTCCATAGAATAGTCACAATTCTCTCACAGGACAGGATTTCACTCATACAGTACATTCTAACTTTCCATATGAAGATATCTAGTAGTGTCACCCTGTCCTGAAGCACTGGAAAGTGCCAAGAAATTCACCTGAGGATTTTTCTGGAGATGTTCTAACTAATACAAATAACTTTCCAAGGCAAATGAAGAAATAGGAAATGGCCTTTGAATTAAAAATGGATATTTCTCTTAATTTTTTTTCCTAGTCATTTTTACACTGTCTATTCTGAACAAATAGTTTGAGGATCATTTGTTTTGAGAACCACTTGATCTTATATTGTTGAATTGTCCTATGTATCTATGTAGCCTATTTGTAAAATATGCTCATATTAATATTTGAACTCTAATTGGCCATTTGCCAAAACATAAGAAACCATGTCCCCAGATTCCCCTGTATGAACTTCTCTGCAGAACTCTGTATGTTACATGTGAAACTCTGAAGATGCTTAAGGATAAAGGACATTTGGATGAATGCATTTAGAAGCCATCCTGTACTTGGAACCTGCCTTAGCTGGTTTCTAAGTTAAGTCAAATGTGCACAGAAATCTTATTCACATCCTGGTGCTCATCACATAAGGGTTGAAGAAGAGACATGCATGTGGGAAATTTGGGAACAGGGATGTATAAGCACATCCCATCTATGTACTCACTAATCAACAATATTCACACATTGTTTTAACCATGGTTTTTGAACAAACCATGATAGCCTAATAGACACTTAGTGCTGTTATAACCATAATTTACAAACTACAATTATTGGACTTATGTGTCATGGAAACCCAAATATTTTTTTAGCACAGTGTTTAAAAACAGCCATAGAATGAGCTAGCTCATGATTTAGAATAAAATATTTCAAAATGTACTAAGGGAAGAAACCAATTTTTCAAAAGTTCAGAAACAGTTTTATACACAGTGCAGGCAGGTATGTAGATACTTAGTAATACTCAATACACAAGTAATTATCAGCTTCATTTGGCACAAATTTATTCTAACTTTTTGAAGCTGAAGGGCAGCTGCATGTGATAATTGTGAGGAGTCTCAATTACCAGATTTTGTAGTTGATACTATGTGACCCATAACAACATGGTTAAATTACTATTACTATCCTTCATTTCCTCATATTTCTTAGGGATGGAGATGGCTAGTATATTAAGTACATGTTTGGAGGATAACCATGTACATATTTCATAGAACATCTTCAATGGTTTTCACTGTCTGAATTCCATTTGTATTTTTTTTTTCCAGCTATTGTGACCCTGGAACCTTGTGAGGGTGCAGATACCTATGTTAATGGAAAAAAAGTAACAGAACCCAGCATCTTAAGATCAGGTAACTTCACTTTCTAAGAGAACAAATTGAGCGGTGGATCCTTAGCATAAAGACCAAGTGATTCAACAGGTGCCTTGCAACAGACTGGCTGCTTGCCAGACTGGGACAGATTCAAAGGAATTATTCTTTGAAGGAAAGATTGTGTCATCCTAAATGTACTGATAGTTGACCATGACTTGCATTCAAGTTGCATGACTTGCATCTAATATGCATGTGAGAAGTCTGATAGAGCTCTGCAACAGATAGCTGTTGTATCAGCTTAGTATTGGATTGAATAGATTTTGAAATCCAACCCCATGTGCATCCCTGCTAAATATGTCCCCCCTCTTTCTATAGGAAATCGCATCATCATGGGGAAAAGCCATGTATTTCGATTTAACCATCCAGAGCAGGCACGGCAAGAGCGGGAACGAACTCCTTGTGCAGAGACTCCTGCTGAGCCAGTGGATTGGGCTTTTGCCCAGAGAGAACTGCTAGAGAAACAAGGCATTGATATGAAGCAGGAAATGGAACAGAGGTGAGTAAGAAGAAAGTAGGAAAGAACTCAGGAACTACAATGGAAAATTAAGAGGTCCCTGGCCTTAGTAGGTCAAATACTGTACATGTAGAAGCTTCCAGGTTTAATTCCTATCATGTCCAAAGAACAGGGCCAAAGAACAGGTAATAGGAAAGATCGCTGTCAGAGACTCCCAGAAAGGCCCTGCCCATCAGGAAAGCCATCAGTCCTTTGCCTATATATGTGTCCAAATGGCATTTTGGGGTGGGGAAAATGAAAGGACTATGGAAAGTAGTGGCTGTCTGTGATTGTTGATCCTGTACTGTCATTTTGTCATTCGTGTTTCTATGTAGGCTTCAGGAACTGGAAGATCAATACCGAAAGGAAAGAGAAGAGGCTAATTACCTTCTGGAACAACAAAGACTTGTAAGTAGTCCTTTGATTGCAGTTTCCTGAATTTTATGATGTACAGTATGTCTCATCATAAAAATTGTGTTCAAAATGCAGTTCAAAACTGTGTTCAGAATGGCACATGCAAACAAATGTAGATGCAAATGTTTGTGCATTTTTTTTGAATGTGCAGAAATTTGATAAATGAATTTATGATTAAATATATGAACCTAGCATGGACTAGAAGTAGATTGATTTGTCTATTCTTTCCTAGCTCATTTGCAAGAGGAATAATGACTAGAATACATTAACATCATATTACTTATAAACAAAATTCTTACTTAGTTTCACCAGTCATGTTTATCAAAGGACAAAGTCACCAGATTCTCATGAACCTGTTTAACATATAATTCTGTAGTCAGTTAAACTGAAGAGCCAGTTATTAAAGAATTTACCACTTGGAGCAGCATCATTTCCCAGTTTTACAGACATTTAAAATGCAGTAGATGAAGAGAACACAATAAATTCTCCTTTTTTTTGGCAATAATTTTATTAAATGTTACAATTAAAAAGATAAAAGCTAATACAAACTAAAAAAAATAAAAGAGTAAAAAGAAAAAATAGAAAGTGCAGAAAAGAAAAAAGAATAGAAAGAAAAATGGAAAAAAATAAAATATAAAAATATAGTAAAGAAAAAGAAACATAAATAATACATGTTCTCCCTTCGTCACAATAAGTATAAACAATTTTAGTAACTTATCACCTTTTCCTAAAATACAATAAATGATCTCTTCTTCCCATATCTCATTTCTTATCTATAAACAAAGCCTTGTCATTCAGTCTTAGTCAACAAAAGTCCATTAAGGGTTACCAGAGATAGCATGATCAAATAAACCAATTTTATATTCCTTCCCTTTACTTTTAACAATTTTGGTCTTTAACCCCTTCAAATAATGCCCTAGAACTTGATTTTTTCTTCGTCTCTTCTCACAAAATCCTTCAAAATTTTAACAGGTCTCTTTTGTAAATCCAATATAGGAAAGTTATCCAATTCACTCTTCTGCTTTGTCATTTGTGTGTCCCTTTTAATTATTAAAAGCTGGTCGCCGATTAAGGGGAGGTCTCTGAGATAGCCCATGTGACTCCACATAGCCACTCCTCATGAGTAAACCACAGGAATAGTTGTTTCGCTGTTTGCCTATGGGTCAAGTGGCTGGGAGTCGAGGGAGGAACCATCTTTGCTCACAGTTGTTAACACAGCCTTTTTAAAGGACATTAAGCTCAACCAAACCTCACTTCTTAATCACTTTGGATTTTTTTTTTTTTTGCTGCTTTAAAAAGATTGAAACCCTTCAGAACAGCAAGTTATATTCTATTTGCTAGGTGAGTCACCTTCTCCTTAGAGGAAGAACTTTTAAATATGATTTTTATAACCTTTTGAAAAATATTACTTTTTGATTTAAACAGCAAAAGTGTGCTCAGAATATGGACGCTAGAAAGTTTAACAATGGATTAAGGGCACAGATGGGCTTGGAATTATAAATTTAAATACCCACAAAGAGCTTTGAATTAACTAGAAGAGATTTTCTCATGGGAAAAATGGCAAATGTTTTGATTTTTTTCATATTTTTCATGATAAGGGGACTTTGAAGGTTGGACACTAGTGAGAGCTAGAGGATAAAAAAGTGGAGCAGAAATCTATAATACAAACTTGGGAATATTTGTCTGCCAAGCTTCTTAACAAAATACATGCATTTTTTGACAAGATTGACAGAGCATGTTGTAATGAAATTACAGAACAAGAACAAGTTGCAATGGATGATTTTGAAATTACTTTGAAGGGGGACTTAAATATAACAAGTAATGAGAAAGATGTGGAGAAAGATATGGGCACACAAATGGAACTGATGGATAACTTATTCCCAAAAGGAGATATACAAATATTGAACTAGGAAAATGACACGGATACTAAAGGGATATACAAAACAGCTCTGTTAAGGTTTTGAAAGACTTTATTAGAAGTGACAAACAAAAGGACAAACTACAGTGGTACCTCGGTTCACGAACTTAATTCGTTCCGCGACTCTGGTCGCGACCCA